TTTAAATTGATGGAGACAGATTTTTTTCTCTCTTTAAAAGCATTTTTTACTCACATTAACAAATGAAAATTCAGGTTCTGCCCAGAAACGCTGCCGACTGTCACAGACCTTGACAGACTGCTGTGGGAACCGGCCTGTTTTTACGGTGTAACACTCCACTGTGGTGTTTGCACATTCCTGCGGTTGTTGTTTCTGCACTTCTACTTTCTTCATTTTGTTCCTCTATTTTCTGTCCATCTCTGTCCCGTCACCTCTGGAGGATTTATTGTTCCGCCTCAGTAATCATTAAACCCACTCACATGGACACAGCCAGGTGAGTCCTTATGACACACTGCTAACACTGCTAAAAAATGTAATTAAATATCATTTAATTGGTACATTATAAACCTGTCACTGACCTTGTATCTTTACTGATAATTGTTTGTTTATTCAAACTACTTTATGTTATTTATACTATAAGTTTGATATTATCATCGATATAATTTAGATTCTGTGGCCACAAAATACAGAATATGTTCCACAAAAGAAAAGAATCTTTCTCACACATGTGTGTATCTAAATACATATATATTATATTTTATAAAAATATAATATATGATGTATCAATAATATATATAAGTATTGATAAAATTGAAATAAATAATAAAATATTTAAAATATAAATTGTTCTTTAATAATTTCTAATGTAATGTTTTAATGATATATTAAATACAATATACAAATATTTGTGTATATCAGCTAATATAATGTTTTTGTGCATTTGTGCAGAAAACTTTTTTTCTTTTCACGTTAATTTCTCTTCATTCCCTATCTGCGCGTGCGCGTGAATGACAGAAGCAGACGTACAGTATGTTATGAATCTTCATCATTCGACGGTAAAACATCAACGGGAACAGAGTGGAGAACCTCAGGCCTTTAAACGCTGATAAAATATGAAAAATAAACATGATATAAATGTGTCCATATATATATTATCTACACTAAATTACAGAATATATTATACATTTGTTTTTAAGGACCACGTAAATCGTTCAAATATTTGCTTTAATGTATCCTTGACTTTTGTTTGCAGTACAAAAGTATCCCACTAGAGGGCAGTGAGCACTCGTCTGACTGCATGCAGGAGGTTTGTCGTTTGCAGTGAAACATTGCCAGTGCGCATGAGGTTTGTACCTGGACTAGTTTCTTCTGCAGTGACTCTTCACCATCTCTGACGTAGCGTTTGGTGGATTCTTCGTCCATCATCTGAAAAACAACAACAATATTAATAATGGCTCACAGTTATTAATATTCACAAGCTAATTTCTCACAGGAACAATATTGAACAAGACGAATTAAAAATGAGATCCAGTACTGACGGTTTGATACGACGTCCTGACATTTACACAATTCACACTGTTAAATAAACTTTAAAGTGAATTTTAGGAAGTAACTAAACCTGTAGTTCCTGTAGTAAAATATGTTTTTACGTAATTACAAATTATCATTTATCATTCGGAGATTAATTTGAGCCTTAACGATGTCTTAACAGTTTCTAAAAAATAATCTTTATTGGCGTTAGCAACACATTCTGCTAATGTTAAATACACTTTTATTTTACAACAGAATTGAATAATGACATTCGTCAAAGAACAACTTAATAAGTTAGTAATACGTTTCCAGCAAGTTTATTCATACATAAAGTGAAGCTATTTTTGTGTGTTTCACTTTATTTTTTATTACCAGTTGCAGGAATTTTTTTTTTTTAAATATTGTCAGTTAGTGCTGGTTCCTGTGGAGCCTCTTTTTTGTTAACTTGCATTCAGTGTTGAAGGTTTACGTTTCCTCCTAACTTGTAGCTTTTTTCCCCCTAATTTTATTTATTTATTTTATTTATTCTATTGAAATGTGAAGTCAGTCTTACCTTGATGCAGAGACGTGTGACTGGAACAAAAGGGAAAAATGGACTGACGTCTGAGTCATGAAGACGCACCACCAAGTGTGTGTCTGTGTGTGTGTGTGTGGTAATAACAGACGGATTAAGTCTGTTGTGTTTGTCGCACTGCAAAATGACAGACATTTACATCACACACCAGCTATTATAATAAAACAGGCCAGTGTCAGTGTCCACTGCACTAATGCAACACTCTCTCTCTCTCTCTGTCACACACACACACACACACACACACACATATTAGATTTTAGAAAGGGGCGGGTGTGTGTGTGTGTGTGTGTGTGCAGACATGCTGCTGATGGAGAGCCAACAAAAAAAGGAACAACAGAAAAAATAAACCACATGTAACAATATAAATATATATGACATTAATTGCTCACACAGGCCAAGGCTGTGGGGTTGACGTTCACTCTAAATTGACCACAGGTGTGAATGTTGAGTGTGAATGGCTGTTGGACCCGTTCACAGGTGTCATCGTCTGCAGAGATGAATCTCAGTGACGCTGCTCTGACGCAGGCCCAGCTCTGGCCTAAGGTGGAAGTCTCAGTGAACACATGCCGGGAGCTGAGTTGGGATTTTAAACTGCAGCTGCTTTGGTGAAACAAAAACATTTTCCCGCAGCATGTGTTAAAACCTTAGTCTTAGAGCAACAATGAGTGGACGAACGATGGAATTATTGGATATAAAGTCTGCACCTGCATCAGGAGTTTCAAATGAATCAACAGAACTAGAACATTATTTATGACAGCGCTACTTAAACAGTTAAAGTTGGGGTTTAAAAGGTTTGTTTTGACATTTGGCGAGCAGAGGGGATGGAGGAAGGTGACCTGAAAGAGGTTTTTAATAAAGAAATGATTTTGGATGAATTTTTGTGCAGATTCTTCAGCTGAGAACTGAAGAACGTGACACCTGGAGGCCAGACACGCAGATAAAACGGATTAAAAACCTAAAAAACATCTTTAACATTATTATTTGATGTCTGTAAAGAGTCTCAGTCCTCCAAGTCAAG